ATTACTATTTGTGTAGTGACTAAAAATGAAAATCAAAATTTAATATAAAAAAAAATTTAAAAGAAATTTATAATTCCGAATATAAAAACTTACATGATGATAAATTCATTCCAGTTTCGGTGGAAAAAACATATAAACGTGTTTCATTAGTTTCTTCATTTCTTGCGCATACTACTAATAACTCTTCATCGTCGCTAATTTCAATAGATTCAGGTACAAAATTCCAATCTATTAAAATACTAGTTTGAATCGATAATTTTTCAATGTACCACATCTTGATCTCATAAATTGTATCATTAAATATGATCAATTTGCCTTTAGAAGTAATATAAATTGTTTTAAAATATTTAAGCTCAATCATTGATTTACAAGCCCAAGTAATATTGTCTTTACTTGAAAAAATATATGCTCTGTAATATTTAGTATTGACCATTATAATATTTCCGTTAGCAATAAAGGATAAGAAATCAATTTCCCTTTGCCAATCTGGAAATTTTAATAATATCTCTTTTTCATTTTCAAAATCGAAAATTTCTTGAAAATATGCAAAATACGATAAATGTAATTGAATTTATTGAAATAACAATAATATTAAATTTATGCATAACTTACTGAAATTATAAGGTTTGTCTCTATCAAAACTGATTGAAACAAGTTTATTATCTGAAATTGCAAATATTCTCTCGCCATTGTCTTTTGTGTAAATTTTGCCGATATAGATTGTTTTTTCATTCTCTAAATGTTTCCCTTGATTATCAATAGATCAAAGACTAATATTGCTATCGCTATATTTGTACCAACGACTAATATTATTGCTATCTTCGTGCAGTGCAGCAACATATTTCATTTTAGGCGAGCGGGCAATTTCCAGAATCCTTTTATTTGCCTCCTCGATTGGAATTTTTACATGAGAATTGTCTGATTTAGACGTCATTTCTAATTATCTTTGATATGAATAATGAATTTTTCAAATAATATTTATAATGGTAAGCCGACGAAATTTCAATAAAATTTTAAGCAAAGGTTTTAGTTATATTTTAAATTTTTAAAGATTTATACTAAGCCATAACCTGTTAGTAAATATTTAAAAATATTTGTGGTAATGTGCTATTTTTCTGACTAAACTTTCTGGCGACTGACCCATGACTCTGTCACGAATGATTTGTAAAATTTTTATCGCAAATGTGTAGAGCTGATTATTGCTTAATTTATGCGCATCATAGATCATGTAACAATCATATATAACAAGAAAATTTTCTTCTAGCAAAGATTTCTTCATTTAAATAAAGAATTTACAGAAATGTGATGAGAAAAAGAAAATGCTATAATATGAAAGTTGATAGGCTAATGCGTAGCTACTTGATATTATTAAAGCAAATAATATCCTATGCTTGTAGCAAAAAAAAATACTTAGAAACCATTGAATTAAATTTTAAATTATTAAAAAAATTGGATGACAATATAAAAACATAAAGTCACACAATCAATTTAAAATTTTAATAACTTTCTTTTTAAGCATTACATATAACTTTAGCAGTAGAAAGTGTTCTAAATTACTCTGAAAGTTTTTTAATCATATGATTATATTTTTAAATGCATCAATTTAAAGTTCGCATTTCAACATTACATTCAACAATGTGCAATGATACATAAATATTCGTGAAAATATTTAATATATAGAAAATGTATAACGTAGGCCTAATTGATAAAAGATTTATGCTAAATTAAACTTTCGTCAAATAAACAAGTGGCTGAGATCACCAGACAAAGCTATGGCACGTTCGGGTGAACAAATAAAGTTTATTCAAAGCTCGTAATTTAAAATTATAGCTGTTTATTATAAATTGTTTACATACGGTATTACGGCAATAAATTTATTATAGTAAATTACATCACTGATCACGATAATGATGTATTGCTATTTCTACTTACTATTTAAAAAATCTGCTTTCTATTTAAATTATCTATTTTATTAAATAATTTTTTTAAATGCAACTTTCTATTGTTGCCATTTATTTTTTTTCGTCATTTTTATCCACTATCACTGTATCACTCAATGGAGACCTTAATTTTCGGAATTATCTATAATCGCCAGAAAAAAAAGCCTACCGAACGATTCAAATTTCAGTTTCCATGTAATGCAAAACGAAAAATTAACTTTGTTTAGCACAAGAACGAAATTGATGTAAAAATCTTCAATTATACAACCCTAAATGCCATAGTTTTAATCGATTAATTTAAAAGGTTCAAGAACTCCATAATTAAAGCTTAGTTTTTAAATTTGCTTTACCGGTTTCGTAAAACAGTTAAATAACAATCATATTTTGAACGATCCTTTGCATAACTTTTATTTTTTCGATTATTCATGTAGTTGTCACCAATTTTTTTTTCAACGATTTGAAATGAAAAAAATGGAAAATCAAATAAAGTATTCGACAAAGTATCAGAAGTCATGTTGTATTAATAAGTATAAACCTTAAACTCACATCAATTTTTAATCAATGATTTATTTGAAAATGACGTCTAACAGATATATAAATCTTATTCAAACGTTATTTATTTTACCTATTGTTCAAAAATAACTATCCATTTTTTACGTCTATTTCTATTCTACTTTAAATTAGACATATTATTTATTTTTTTTTTCAGCTCTCCAATAGCATTATCAATTCGTATACAAATGTCTATTTCTGATTTTTTCAGTTCATTTTTCAGTTCATACTTAATTTGTGCAAGAGTGGGCGTGGGCTCTTCATCAGGGAGTAGAACTTTTTTAAGATTCTTTGAAATGTATGTATAACCTGACCATTTATCATTTTGGATATCAGTTATAAGATTGCAAAGTTTAGCTGTGTCACATTCATAAAAACTTTTAAAATAAAATTAGATAAATAATAGGAATAAGGATTTATTTTGCATGTAGTTAAATAACTTACACAACAAATGGAAACCAATTTTCCTTTCTTCGTTGATGAGGCAACATATCTAGTAACTCTATCTCTTCTAATATCTATATAATAATATAAATAAATAAATAAATAAATAAATATATATATGTAATTTATAAAAATCATACCTCAGCTCTTAGAATTAAGTAAAACTCTCTTGTTTTGGTTTCACTTATTTCGTTATTTAACATTCCGATAAACAAATTCATTAAATAAATAGTCGCCACAAAAGAAATTATGATCGTTAAAGTAAGCAAGGTGGGGTTATCAGTTAAATTCCAGTTGGAAATTGGTCGTGTCTCCTATTAAATTGTACACGTTTGTATCAAAAAAATAAATATAAAAGCAAAGAAGTTTGCTTATCGTTATGATGATACAATCAACTATAAAAAAAAAAGAATAACTGTAATTTACCTGTTAGTATAAGATAAACAGCTGAAATTGCTGAGCCCATTATCATAAACATATTTTTAGTCTCGGTATGAGTTTCAGTAAGTAAAGAGTTGCCTTCAATTGCGTTATTAGGATCTGTGGTGTTATAAGTTGTAACTGAGTTCAGCGGATCATTCTGAATAGTGGAATAACGTAATAAAAGATAGAATGAATGTGCAAAAGCAAATATAATAAATCCCATTATTGCCAAAAACGAAAATGCTCTCTTAGCTACTTCAAGTATCATAGAGAAGTAAGCACCAGAAAATTCAATCGCGCGAAAAAATAAAAGAAATTTGATTTCTAATAATAAAGTAGAAAAGGTAGCCATTTCTGTTGGAATAGCATTACTTTGAAGCCATTTAATTGACGATATTGTTGGTAGCAAAAATGCGCCAATGTCTTAGTTTATAAGCAGAAAAATAATAGGATATTAGTGATAGCTTGATAAAAAAAATTAATACGATATATTTAAATTCATATTACCAAAATAATTCCATGCACTAGACATATAAATTAATGGTGCGAAAATAAATTGCCGTAATTCACAAAATAAGTGCCAAATACCAAGACAAATAGTTATAATTAAGAGAATAAATAGACTAGTCTGGGAAATACTTTTATAATATGTTGCAGCAATTACGAAATTAAAAAGAAAAACAGTATAAATTGTCCAACTCGTTAAATAATATTTTCTTCCATAAGCATTCCATTTAAATATAAGTAGTGCTTCTCCATTTAAACCTTTATAAAATTCTTTTATTATTTCAAGCTTATTTGAACGTGTAAACGGATTGGGAATAGGTAACAATAGTTCCTGCCAAAATTTATAATCTTTTGGATAAGAAACGAAACCTGGTAGAGGAATTGCAAGTATTGTTGAACTATGATCTGCATAAAAAAAATTGATTATTTGTTTTACAATTAATTCTTGAAAAAGAGGATGACTTTCTTGAAAATCTCGAAAACTGGTTTGAAACTGGTTTGAAAATTTTCTTGAAAACGAATCCAAAGATTAGATGTTAATATATCAAGAAATGATGTTTTAGATAAATGAAAGTATCTTCCATAACTGGAAAGATGCGAAGACATAGAGTATGGAAATATATAATTAGAAGGAACTACAAATTCTATCTGGGATAAAGCACTTGATATAAATGCAGGATGATTTTCCGATAATTCATTAAAATTTTCAAAAATAATACTCAACAAAGAAATTTTAGAAATCAAATGATTATCATCTTGTATAAACATATCCATACAGTAGTTGCCTAAAACTTGAACTAATTCATCAAACTTTAATTTAATAAATGTTTTCATGAGAATTTTTCCATAGCAAGTTAAATAAAATTCATCAAAGATATCTTTCAAAAATGTCTTGAAAAGCTGTATTCCTTCTTTGCCGAATTTAACACCATGATTTATAAAGATTGTTTCATAACTTGAAGCAAGAAGAATTCTTTCTGAAGTCTAATCCTTAAAGAAATGTTTAAACTTTATCTTTTCAAATTCGAACTCTTCTAAACGACCATTCCAATAATTCCAATAATAATGCATCTTAATTTCAAGAAATTTATAAGACCAAACTATTACACCAATACGTGTAATCGTAATGAGATCATCATTTTCAAGAACTTCACAATGCAGTATAAAATTTTTTCCATTTTGGTAAAATGATGGGAGAATAACCAGACTCTTTTTTTTATCATCTGGATTCCATTGTTTCTTGCGAAGATTATAATCTATTACAGTAAGTTTGACTGATCCATCATCTTCTTCTAATCTCCATTTTAATAATTCCCCTTCATATTCTTTCTTGTCAACATTATAAACATCAGCAGTTAATATGTTTTTTATAATATCAATTGTTTCGTTTTAGACGGAGTTGTAATGCTATTTGTGTCTTTCAGATCTTTTCGTAAATACTTGACCCAGTCACCAGAATTATCAGGTACTAAATTCTCAATAAACACTTTTCCGTCAATCGTATAAATTATTTTATCTGATATTTTATCCGATCGAATTATGTATGGTTCCTGAATCTGAGTTTCATCTTTTTTAAAAGGTTTGCTCGCACTTTTTGGGGTTTTGAGTTTATAAGGATCCATTAAATTATATTGACCGTAACCGTCTTTTGATGTATACAATAGTCTTTCTCCTTTTCTAGAAGCGATCAAGTGAGTTCTATTTATTACCAATTCTGTAGTAACTAAAAAATAAAATTTAATATAAAAGAATTTAAAAGAAATTATATATGGTCGTTGTTTATTCTTCAAACAACAACTTACATGATGACAGATTCATTCCAGTTTCGACGGAAAAAATATATACACATGTTTCATTAGTTTCCTCATTTCTTGCGC